AGGATATTAAGTGCTGAGGAGGTGAAGTCCAGTCATGACTGGGTTAGTCCATCCACACTTCTCAGCAAAACAACTGTGTTACGAAGTTCTCGGTTCGAGTGGCTTGGTTTTGGGTTCTGTTAGCATTGAAGTCAACACTGTTTACACTTCCTCTCAGTTCGGTTCGGTTCAGTTGAAGCACTTATTGTCACACAGTGAACCATGATATTCTCACATTTCTTACAGTTAACAAGACCACACTTCACGAACAATTGACTATTAGCTCGGCTTCACCTGTTTACACGCCCCCATTTCAGTTACTACTGTTTCAGGTACTGTTTTGCCAGGTAAGCTTTGAAATGAGTGAATCTCGATTCTCCACACTCTCCAGCTGTAATGAGTTTTGTGGTGAGGAGATGGGATTTGATCACTTTTCTCCCTTTTTAGCCTATCCAATAAACAGTGGGAAGAAATACTCAGAAAGAGATCTCCTCGTAATCTCATGGACTTCTCCTAGACATGGTTAAGTCCTGTCTGTGATCAGTGAGACTCAAACCATTTTCTCATTTTTTCCTGTTTCTGAAGTTTGGTTCCTGAGAAATAAGCCTCAGATCTTCTCACATTGATCAAAATATTGTCACACATATGGATGAACTCTTGTGTTTGACTCATCCATCTCACCCTAGTCTTAGCTAAATAATATCTCCAAAGCTAAATAATATCTCCATAAGAAAAGCCTAAGATCTCATCGTTCTCTTATGTAGCTCTATTCTATAGCACAGAACTCTTTCAGCGGTCTGTCAGTGTAGAAGGAGAATTTGTGCTTTTCTCATTCATCACCAGAATTACTTGCATATGTTCATCTCCTCTTTTCTTGTTAGTCGTTAATACTAATACTAAATAGTATTGAGATCTGCTTGATTTCTTTGAGACAATCTTAAGAAAAGGCAGTTTTTCCTCTGGGTAATAAGAACTGCAGAGCTGTATAGTAAGGGTGGGCGACATGACAAAAATCTAACATACAACAGAACATCAAGACATTTTCACGCCACATGATATCACAATACTTATTTTCCAAGGGTGAATGCATTGAAACAAAAAAGAACTCATATTTCAACATATAAAACATATGAAAGTTCAAATAAAGGTCCTATAGAAGTTCTGCAATATTACTATAGTGTGTTTTATATATTCATGTATAATGAATTATATTCTTAATACATTTTTTCGCACTGTTACAGTAGGTGGTGAATAGGTGACGTGACTCTTCAGTGGTAGACGCACATGGTCCACATGTGAGCCCAGCCAAGCATTTCCCACGGATTACGTTCTTCACTGGCCGTGCATCTGGACTGAAAAATGAATTTCATTTTCAAACTACCATCAGGCCTGGTTGTTTTACATAGGTTCGAGTTTTGACTTGACTGTCTGCATTTGATTGTGACTCGGCTAAAACAACTGTTTTTCATTTTTTCTGATTTGTGCTTGGTTTGGAGTATATATTTGTTTCCAGTCTGGCCACAATGGCGAAGTGGCTTAAAGACTATTTGAGTTTTGGAAGCAAGCGAATGCCCCCTCAGCCACCGAAGCCAGACTACACAGAGAGTGAGATACTCAAGGCTTACCGTGTGCAAAAAAGCTTGGACTTTGAGGACCCATATGAAGACTATGAAAACAAAAGCAGGAATGATAGTGGGTCAGCTGAGAGCCCGCTTGCGGGAATCGGCTCTATGTTGAAGAACAGTGCTTTGGATGTGAAAGTGGTGTCTCCTAAACATCGGCTCATCAAGGTGGACTCGCAAGATCTGGGCCGGACCAAGATTCTTCTAAGCTCCGTGTCCTTGGAGGACCCAACAGAGCCAGTAAGTGGAGTAAGTTGGGAATATTTACATTTACGTTTACATTCATGGCATTTGGCAGACGCTCTTGTACAGAGCGACTTACAGTTTGATCATTTTACGTAGGTAGGTGAAGTTAGTGTTAGGAGTCTTGCCCAAGGACTCTTATTGGTATAGTGTAGGTTGCTTGCCCAGGCAGGGAATTGAACCCAGTCTACAGCATAGAAGGCAGAGGTGTTACCCACTACACTATACCAACTGAAACATGGATTTCATTTTCAGAGTTGTAAATAAAAAAAAAATTAATTGAGAGTATGAGCAGTGACTGTGCTAGGGGTGGCAATATAGTGAAAAAAATAATGATACTTTTCAAGATGATCACATTTTCACAATTATCACAGTATTTTATTTTGTAAGCTGGTACAGACACTATAACAGTTTCTTTTGTATTATGCCTTACTATATCCATTTTTTTACTATATATACTACAGATACTGTCTGCCTTCCTTCTGCATTAGACAGCTAGTGGGGGGGAAAAACATGCGGCAGACAGCCGACCCCCAAAAATCCACCTCAAAGCAGTTCAAAGGTTTCTCCCACCTTCAAGAGACTACAGAAGGGAGTTTTCTAGTCTTTTAACTGGAAAATCACGTGTGATTTTCTATTACTGTATGAGGCGAGTAGTTATGTTCACAATGGATATAGCAAGGGTTACATGTTTTATTTTGGCCAGAGTGCCTCTTTAAACATGACCAGTTACACTCTTTTGGACTTGACATGATTCGCACTCGTGATCTCCCCCAGATCCTTATACAGCTATGCTGCATCTAAATATCTTTTAACAGAACATGCAGTTGTTCAGTGCTTCTCAAGAATTCACAATGTGCTCCAAAAAGCATATTGTGATGTATTTTATTGCAAAACCAGTATCATATTGTCTTATTTCCGACCCCATATGAGCCACTGTAACATACACACTTTAACATGGTCTGTAGGTCGTGAGTTAGATGGCTTCGTCTGCCTGAAACTGAAGTAAGAAACATTCGAAAGGGTTGAATTACAATGCTCAGCAATGCTTGATGTAAGCTAATCCATTTGTAATCCCTGCATGGATTTTGACCCTTTTGAACTGAGACAGAGGTGTCGGAGCCCTCTGATGTACGGTGGGCTGGGGCACATGAATAATAGATTGAGTTTGCTTAAGCATGCAGAGGGGTCCCATTGTGAGTACTCGCAAGAGCCTAAAAGGTCTCCATTGTTTTTCCTCTGATCAGACACAAGGTACAGGCACAATAGGCATGCACACTAGCACATCTGTGCTGTGAGAGATGGTCTGGCTGCAGGTGCTTTAAATGGACATATTGATTCACTGCACACACTAATCACTGCCCATGATGAGTGAGCTGATTAGCTTGGCTTGGGGCAAAGTGTGGTCGGTGGTGCGGTCAAATGTGATGCCATCTATTTGATTTGTGCTCTAACAAAGCTCCTTCAGTGCATTAGGTCTTAAATGTACTGTGTGGTCTCATCAGTTTATATAAATGCTTAATGTTTCACACATCTGTTAACCCTTTTCTTATAATTCCCAGTGAAAAGGACTGGACAGGGCCATCCCTGACTCAATTTTAAGTGGAATAATTTGCTTAAAATAAACCAAATGACATTTTCCTATTTCATGACAGTGGAAGATTGTTGCACGTTGTGGTTGTGGGATGGCTTTCTGAGCGCTGGCATTGAACCTGTGGCTCAGTGCGCTCATTTGGGAGACCATATGGCTGCCTTTGTAGTTGTCAGGGTGCCAGCTGACGGCGGACACTCTCTGTGCCTGTGCTGAAAGACAAATGCTCCTCTAACACTCTCATCAACACTTTCCACTGGAGGCCTTCTGCCCCATGAGCCAGAATGGGGACTCTCTCAAAGGCCATTTATTAGCAGAGTGCAATGAATGTATGAATATGTTGCTTGACCTTCTTCAGAAACAAGGACACAATGTGTCATTGGCCATGTTAACGTGCAGAGATTTTCCCCAATCCGACTGAATTCATTCCAATTATAGATTAAGATTGAGGTGTTTATATGCGCACTCTACTCAACAGTCTGATGAAAATCTCCGTTTACATGCACACTACAAGTAATCCGTATCAAAATGTAGAGTATCACTTTGTGTAGACGTTACCGTGACAACAAGCATCACACGAGTCCAGTCAGAATGAGATGAGCAGCAATGAGTTACCTGAGTTTTCAGGTGGCATTTTTAAATTGCTTTATAGTTTGTGTAAAGCCACTTCATTCATTTGTTCATATGCTTATCTGAACAGCTTGTTATTGTGTGTTGTATTTTTAAGTCTAAAGCATAAACGTCGTCTCCTCTGCAGACCAGTTTCTGCTCCTGCCATGTTGAAGGTTATAAACTTCTGTTATGACGCAGCGGCACATGCGCAGAACGTACTTAAACTTTCTGAATGGGAATGTAAACACGGGTATCCGATTACATGGCTAGTATTCTTCTATTTAACTGATTATTTATGTGATTACCCACCTCGTTCAGTTAGATAGAAATTGTCTTCTGAACGGCCTCAATCAGACTAGTCTATTCCGATTGAGGCATGTGAGTATGTCAACTGATGTGAAGCCCTGATCTTACATAGCATCAGTGGCACCCTCTTGTGGAGAATTTTAAGCCTGCTAAATATGAGTGAGTTAGAAGCCGTGATTACAAGCCAGAGATGCTTTATGGGCCTGTGACCACTGAGTGATGATAAAACTCATTTACTGCTGGTTTAAGAACTTTTTGTTCGTTTATTGATTTATTTGATACAAACCATTGAACGACACTAGTATTCCCACATGTAATTGAACTTTTAATCATACTGGATGATAAATTTTACATGAATATCTTACATGAATTTATTGTACCCAACACAGAAGAGATTGTTCCATAAATGTGGCTGTTGCTGCAGGCAGATCTCATGCCTGTACAAAAAGCCACCTCTGTGTTATGGTGCATGTTTAAGGACATCCTCAGATCACAGAAGAATCCACAGAAACAGGCCATTTAAAACAGCCTCAGGTGAGATGGCTTCAGAGAAGAAGGCACCAGGCTAGGCTAAGCAGCCTCTGACTGGAAAGTCTGTGAGACATTTGCAGTTCCATTCTCTGTCACCAGATTATTTTTTTTTTTCACCACAAAGATTACGTTTCAATTCACACGCTGTCCCTGCGTTTGCTCCCACTTCTACTTAAGTGCCAGGAACAGTCTCAGAATTACTAGGAGAAAAATGTATAGTTAGAATGACAGCGACACCGGATATAGTTTAGTGTTTACACGGTTATTTTCCAAAATGTTTTGCAAATAAGAAGCCTGTGTTAACACCACAGGCCTAGTGCCACTCATCTAAAAACAATAAAGCTGTTGTATAAGGAGATACAAACTGATATCTGAGAAATGAACAGACAAGAATCATCTAGAATGGCAATTGGCTGATATTTTCTCTTAACACGCAGTTCATATGTTTATGTATTTAAATCACACTGTGATGTAAACGTATCATATGAACACTGTAGTTGAATTATGTGTGTGTGTGTGTGTGTGTGTGTGTGTGCGTGCCCAGCTGTGCATGTGCCATTTGTTAATTTAGATTGAAGTGCAAGCCTCTGGTAAACAGCAAATAAACTACGATATTGTCTTTGGTTTTTTGTTGATGTATTTGTTTCTTTAAAAACCAAAAAAAAGCTTTGGCTATAAAAATTGTCCAACATGGCCATCTGGTGATATGGCTGTAATGAAATTGCAATTGGGTCTAAAAATTCATGGTTGCCCCTTATGCTGGTGTGTGTTTTTTTTTTTTATTTATTTATTTATTTTTTTTTATTTTCTTGCTTCCCCAATACCCCCCAGCACTACATACAATCTATACTGTAATATAGATTGGCTTTCAACTGTACTGTATACTATGGCTTTCGCTGGGGTCCAAATGGTTTTGGTAACATTGAAGACTCAGCATGATCAGTGAATTTACCTCTTTCCCAACACAAGCTGTGAATGTCTGTTCAGATTTTAAGCATTTGCTCCTTTGTAGCTCACTAAGAAATCTCACCATTGTCTCGCATGACTTTAGGTGGTCCCCTCAGCCCCAGCGATTGGCGACACAGACTACTCAGACCCCTTCGACGCTCGCCAGGATCTGCAGCCAGAAAACCGCCAGGCTCCTTCGACCCCAGAGAACAATGGCTACATGGAACCTTATGAAGCTCAGAGAGTAATCACTGGTCAGTCTAGTGTTTCATCAGCCTTCCTTTCCACTGCCTTGCAGTTTGAATTCCCTCTCAGTGTCTGTTTGCTGGAGCATGTCACATGTCGCTGTTGATAAACAGGGGTGTCCAATTCCCGAGTCATGAGGGCAGCAGTCCAGCACAGTTTGGTGATTTCCATGCTCAAATACACCTACTAAACTGGGAAACTGCTGTGTTGAAACAGGTGTGTTTGTGCATGGAAATCAGCAAACTGTGATGGACTAAGGCTCTGCAGGATTAGAGCTGAACACTCTGTTTTACAACTATGGATGCTCTTCCTTTTAGGCTTGTTTCATACATACGACTTCTGTGTCATGTGAGTGATGAAGAACATCTTGTTTTTCATTTCGCCACCCATATTAACAGGTTAGAGTGTTTGAACAGCGCAGCAATGCATCCTAGACAGGTCCTAGAATAGAACAGCATCTAGAGAATAGGTGTCAAGCCTGCTTTTCCTAGCCAGATGCAGTGAAAACAAATGAGAGTGACACAAAACTTAACAAACCATCAAAACATGACAAACATACAATTCATTGTCCTTTTTATAATGCATTAAATTACACATTTTTCTGGTTGATCTTAAGGCTTGAAATGATGTCGCAAGTCAGAAAACTGCCATTGGAAAACAAATGCGACTGGATTTTTTTACAAGTGACTGCTTATCAAGTAAAGTAATGAAACTGACTTGACTGTTTATGCATTTTGAGAATGGATGACTGTGGAACTTTCTTGCAAGTAGTGACAGTGTCTGGTCATGTCATGCAGAAGTATGTGTGAAACAAGGCTCACGTGTAGTGATAAGGCCAAGATGTGATGAGTTTATGATGCAAAGGCATAATTGCTACGTATTATTATAATTATGATAATCTCTGTCTGCTTATCCTAGTTACAATGAATGAATGGGTGCCTTTATTCATTGTAATTGTTCTTCCTGTCATTTGTGAGTGAAACTGGTTTGAGTTCAGCAGGATGTTCATTTGTTTTTTCAGTTTCACTGAGGGGGTTAGGGGGGGCTCAGTCTCAAGTTTAGAAGTCATGTGATTTTAATGTTCTTTAGTGTGGAGTGAACTGTCTTCCTTCAGTGTCTTAAAGCCAGTCTTTCACACTTGTTTGGAGATCTGTTCATTCATTGTTGGGTGTTCTGCCATGCCTCCAGGGGGTTTGCTCAGAGAGAGAGAGTGTGTGTGTGTGTGTGTGTGTGTGTGTGTGTGTGTGTGTGTGTGTGTGTGTGTGGTGTTTGCTCTGCAGTCAAGAGAAGTTCTCTGTTAAAAGCCTTTGTCGAAGTGTCGCATTAGATGCAGCATTGCTCTTCATCCTCCTATGTCTAAACAAAAGCCATATACCCAGGGACCTCCTGTCTGAAGCTAGCTAAAAATACCAGGCTGGGTTAATTTGATCCCTAATCTAATTGATATGCTCCATTTATTACTCAAATCGTCCCAGTGGATTGTTTTCTTTCTGATTGGAGTGCATTTCAGGGTCCGTTCTGGTCACCAGTGGTGAGACATTTAAAAACTGCCATTAAAAACTATATCATATAGTATATTATAGGATACAATGATTTTACACATTGTTTCACTTAGTGTACGGCACTAAATCTGATTAAACAGGCCAAATTATGCGCTCTTATTGATAAAGCAGGTAGCTGTTCAGTATTCTTTATGTACTGATGATATCCATGACATGCTCATAAAAGGATATGGTTCATTACATTAACAATAATTAGCCTGATAGCAATACAATATGGTCATATATTTATGCTCACCTCTAGTTGGTAGGGTCAAAGATAATGAAAAAAAACAATTATTCTGTTGTCTTTTACCTTTAACTTTAAGAAGTCTCTTTTATTGATGGCTTCAAAGTAGCTATCTGGTACTGAGCCTGAGCGATTGAAATGAACCTGTCTAGCTCTCTGATTTGTTATATTTAAAGCAGTAATTTGTCAGAAAATAAAAACCTGAGATATAGACAAAATTTAGGCATCGAGAGGATTACTACTGTTTTAGCTGTGTGATGTTTTTGTCCGTTTTTATAGATAACAGTGCCAGAAACTACAGAAGAAAGTCTATGTGAGATTACACAACAACTCCACTTGGTTTGAAGCAAAATAGTGATTTTCGGCATCTGTAATGCTAAATGGTTGTCCTAAGCTGCTATTACTTTTTAGCTACATTAGCTTTGTGGCTCCATTCCAAACTAAAGAAGCAAACTTTGCACACCAAGCATCTCTTCAGTGATTGACCATCACTTTAAAGAGAACCCTAAATGTTAGAAGTATGCTGTAAAAATAGTTTACTTGTCCAGTTCTGTTAAAATGATGTATAGTCCAAATGGAAGTATTTCATTTATTATAAAGCATGACAAACTGGCAAAATCCCTCTAATAGTATTGTTATATAGATATATAGTTGCACTGCAGTCAGTCCTACGGAAAATAAGACAATCCAAAAGTTTTTCTCTTTGGTAATGCCTCACTAGCTCAAGTTGGGAGGGCAGAGTGATGCATTTGAGTTAAATTACATGTTTAGCTCGCTGTTCCTTGATCAGTGGACAAGAGAGAGTGTGACCATTTGATGCCGCAACAGAAATTAGAGGAATGTTGTCAATTTTCAATAATAAATAAAGTATTGCTTGGTTTATGCAACATATTCCAACAGTGCTGGCCGTGTACAACCGTATTGAGGCTTACATGTCTTAACAGTGAGGGTTCCCTTTAAAGCCCATATGTCAAACACAAGGCCCACGGGCCAGATCAGGCCCGCCACACAATCCTGTCCAGCCCGCCAAACTATTTTAATTTTCTATTAATATTAGCCTGCTTCACAAGGTGCTGCACTACAGTCCCCAGCATGCACTGCAACGTAATATATGCTCTTACTGTCCTAACCCAACAACAGTCTATGGGACAGCAGTTTCACCTCAATTCTACACAATTCTGCACAATTTCACACAGTCATATCATCAAAATGCATTTCAGCTGCAGTTCAACTAACAAACACTTAACGTCAGCTCAGCAGCTCAGAAATTGAGCCCACGTCTTAATGAACTTGCAGCAAAGAAAGGATGCCAGGTATCTAGTTCAAGTAAACAGGTAGGTTTAAAAGACTGAGCTCCTGGGGACATTTCAATTTTCAGTAATTCAAGTTAACATGTAATATTTCAAGGTCTACTACAAGTGTCTGTATTTTACTATTGAATTTTTTGCATATTTTGAATAAACAATAGCCAGTTCGGGTTACAGCACAAGATTAATTAAAAATGAAAGGAAAACATTTTTTTTTCTCTGGCCCACAGATTTGATTAGATTTTTTAATATGGCCCTTTTACTAGCTGAGTTCGACACCCCTGCTTTAAAGGACGGTTTCATGCAGTGGAAGAAGCTTTGTCAAGAGTCCCATAATAGAGTTTTGAATATTCACTGGATATTTGCATGTTTTGTGCAGACACCTAATCCTGCCCTGTTGTGTGGATCGTCACTCTCACCCAAAGCCCTTTCTCACCAGTTAACGTCTGCACTTTGATTCCATCTCTGTGTGTCCTCCTTATCTGCTAATAAGTGTCAGCGCTGAGGTAGAGTGGAATCTCTCAGCTCCTTCTCTCCTGTCGGAGGCTCTTAACATCAACATGCCGCCACCCCCCTCCCCCTCACCTCGGGGTCCGTCCCCCTGGGGCCTCAGCTGTCGCTATGGAGACAGCTAGGGAGCCCACCACAAGAGAGACATTTGAAGGTTAAAGTTTGCCTTGCCCCTGTTTGCGGGGCCTTCGTATTTCTTCTTCGTCTGGCCTTTTTTCACTCTCTCACCAGCGCTCACCATGGTCATTTATCTTCTCTGTCAAAAATTTCAAATCTCGAGGTGTTTCGACTGCAGGCTTGTAACTAGAAATGCAGTTGGCAGAGACGCTAAGGGTGGGCGACGTGGCATAAATATAACATTGAATATAACGTACTTGGACAGTTTTCAATATGTGATGTGTATCACAATATTTTGCTTGTCCAAAGTTTGTAAACAAGTTGGACCAGACAGCATGCACCAGCAAGGATGAGGTGTAAAACCATGAGCACAGTATTTTAAAATGAAATTTATATATACTGTTGCTGTTGGAAGAAAACATCATATCTCCAAAGTGGTAACTTTACAGGAGGAGGAGAAACTTTCTAAAGTTATGACAAAAGTAAATGTAACAAGATTTTTTTCCCCAAGTAGTTTCATTCCACTTTTCTTGGTCTGTTCATCATGAAATTTAACACAATGAAAATGGTAGCTTGAGTTTTCAGATTATGCAAAAAAAATAAAAAGTCAAACATGGCAAAAATGGAGAAAGATTGAGTGTGTTTACATACACTTAATAATCTGATAACTGCAGAAAATCAGATTTTGTCAGTAATCTGATCAACGCATTTACATGCACTTGAGTAATCAGAAAACTCCGGGTCAGACAGTAATCGGATTTCTGCTTTGTAACCAGCCAATAAACTCGCAGAATAAGATGTGATGTAAACGTAATGTAAAACTCAAACTTCATGCCACAGCTTTTTTTTAAAAAAAACATCACACCACTCAAAAATAGGAATATACATCATCTAGAAGATGAAGAATATTTAAACCCCTCATTTTTTCAAGAATGTGTTTGGTTACAGCGTAGCTCCAAAAGTGTTTTGCTGCCATCTCAGAGTAAGAATTTACATGCACTGAGAAATCTGATTACTGAGCTAAAATCCTTCTCTCTTTATCAGATTTCTAGACCTTATTGCGATCTAAGAAATGAGAGTGCACTGCTTACCAGACCGTTTGAATAATCGGATAACTGCAGAAATCTGATTATGATTGGATTATTGAGTGCATGTAAACACACTAATTTTATATATATAATATAAATTTATAAAAAAGGGAGCACTAGTCACTAGTAAGCATGGCTGAAAAGCCCCCAAAAACAATTAATCATCATGTCACCTCTCAGCCTTACCTCTTGTAAGGAACAAACAATTTCATCAGTTAACACTAGCTAAACAATAGTCGCTAGCTTG